CTCCCAGCAGTGCACTGCAAGTGGCTGACACTGCAAGTGCTACGGCTTCAGGAGGAAGGGAAGACCTCAGGGGTCTGGCACCAGGGCAAGAAGTTCTCAGGATCACAGCCATCAAGGAAGAGAGAAATTCCTCAGCAAACTTTCTAATTTATATTGAATGTGACGTTCATGGTATGAAGTAATCCTGTTGGCCGGCTTTGGTCAAGTACCTGGGTCTCACTCCTCCTTGTCCCTGCACCTGGCTAGCTCGATAACACTAAGACCTTGAAACCTGCATGCCATACGTGGCTGCACAGCAAATATTTTCACAAATTCAGACACTAGAGTCTTCTAAAAATGCAGTCGTCCCAAGCAATAGAGAGACCTTACTGAAAAGTAAAATTACTGCAAGAGAAATGAATCCTGTGTCGCTCAGACCAGGACATGGGGGAAAGCCAGAACAGCAGAGGGTGTTGCAGGCTGGAAGGAAGGCGCATCGGCAGCAGCATGTGGGGTGCTCCCGGCAGGGCTGGCTATGGCTCCCCACCCTCCAGCCCTCTGGGACGTGCAGCGTGGCTGGGTATGGGAGCACACCAGCGTGGCTGGCTATGGGAGCACACCAGCGCGGTGCCGGAGGTTGGCAGCCTGCAAGCAGCGGCGCACGGCTCCCCACAGCCGCCCTAGGTCACTCCGCTCTGGGCAGCCCCTGTACCTTCGCTTTCCTGGAAAGCAGTTTCTCTTCATTACTGAGAAGAGCCCTGCTCTTGGAGGGGAAGGAGGGGCTTGGCCACCACTTCATGCAAAGGGGCCACTACTTGTGCTAATTTTTCTCATAAGAGTCGAACTAATACATCCTCCACTCTAAACCACAGAAAGGTGTTTTTGTTTGGGGTTTTTTTCTGAGGGGAGCAGAGGAAGGGGGCTGGGGGATTTTTGTGTGTTGGTTTTGTCCTCCTGGCTTTCTCTTTTTCTCTTTTTGCGTTGTTGTTGGTTTCTTTTTTTTTTTTTTTCCCCTTCTTCTTAATGCTTTGCTGTTAGCATCTCCTAAAAGGAGGCTTTTAGAAAGTTATGAGGGACCACCCAGAAAAGGGAGGAAGGGTCAAAAGAGGAAAACCACCTAAGACCATACGCAGAAACAGTACATTTTGTACTGTTTACAGGGTGGACCTGCAGCACATCAGGAGATTGTGGCAGTCATTTCCTACCCGCTCCCCAAGCATCTTTCCATCCTCCTCTCTTTACAAAATCTCATGCACTGCCTGCATCACCTCTCATGCCAGAGTAGCCAGGCCTGCCCCCATGCTTTCTTCTCTCCCTTTCTTTCATGTTTGACCACCTGGAAGGAACCCCCCAGATTAAGTCTGGGCCACTCGGATCGCTCCATCACCAGGGCACTTTCACCTCTCTTGTGCACACAAAGCCAGTGTGCATGCTGGTGGGCCACAGCATGTTTGGCTCCAGCTGGGAGCCCAGTAAGGTCCTAAGTAATTGGTCACTCATCCTCTGGAGATGATGCTCCAGGTCCAGCTCAGCTTCCATTCAGTTTTGCTGGCTGAAGGGCAAAGCAGTACTGACACCTAACATGTTCACAGCCCTGTGACCTCTATGTTCTTCTCCTTTCACTCTTTTGTATCTCTCTTTCTTTCTTCTGCAGATTTTTAGTGCCTCATTCTCTCTACCTCAGTGCTTTCCCTCACCATATTACCTTCTTCCTTCTTCTGCGGCACTGCATGCCTTTTGCTTTCCCAGAAACCCCTATTTATTCAGCAGTTTGCCGTGATATGCCCCAAAATACCTTTCTTCTTCCCACAGCTCCCAAATGGACAGGGGCAAATAGGCAAGTTGTGGTTCTTTCTACCTTGTGCAGGCCGTAAGGAATTCACATGCTGAGAAGGAGTGAAGCTGTGAGGGTGTTACTGGCTCTTGGGTTGCTGAATATCAACATCTTTGAACTTACCATAGACTTGGGGGTTGGTGAGAAACAAACAGAGAAATGCCACAAAGGAAAACTACAATCCAAAAGTAGGATGAAATCAGACCTAGTGCCCTCAGCGGCTGGACTTCAGACAAAACTCTCTGGAAATGGTTCATTCCATCAGCAGCACTACCAATTAATGCTTTCATGTTTAATGTTTTTTAACGTTTTAGTATCAGGGATAGTGAGGGTGTATGTAACCTTAGGCAGAGGCAAAAATGAGGAGTAGGATAAAACTCTTCTTGGGAGCTATTCCTCTCCACACTGTCATCAGCGTCCCGGTCATCTCAGAAACCCTGTCTTTAGGATTGATCCAGCTTTCTCCAGTGATGCACCAAGGGGCAGTGTTCAAAGCAAGTTGCTCATGGCAGGACCATTAGCCCGCCTGCATCCTCACTGTCATTACACAGAGCCTTTCAGGTGGGCACCTGTGCGCTGAGAGCAGTTGAGGGAAAAAAGCATCAATCCAGAGTTAAGTCTCTTGGTTCTAGGGAATTTACTCATATTCTTCTTTTCCTAAGAAAACTCACTGAAAGGCAGGGTTTGTTTTTCACCTTAAACACATCCAGGCTTGGTTTCAAGCTAGTGGGGAAGAAATGCAGCACTAGCAAAGTCAGTGCTTGAGCATGGTTTGGTTGCCATCTCCTCCTTTGTGTCACAGGACGCAAAACTACTTCAGCATCCTTGTATTTTCCACCTATAATGAAGCCACCTCAGAGGTACCTCGATCCTGAACACATTGTGGGTCCTGTGAGTCAAGTCCAAGCTTTGGAAAATTGTGGTCAATGGTGCCATCCTGACACATGTCTCACCAGCTTTTATTGCTGAAGAGGATTGCTGCAATACCCTCCAGCTGTAACTGCTGCAAGGTCACCGTTTCAAGTGGATGAGAGAGAGAAGAGCGAGACCCACAAACAATCTCCGAGCAGTGAGGCTGATTGTTACTTTTTGCAGGCAAAGATGACGAGGAAGAATAAAAGGCAGAATTAGACTAGTCCATTTAATGTTAAGGCAAGGTGGCTGGTACAATCTGTGAAGTCACCCAATAAATGCTATAAATATCCACAGAGGGAAACAGACTCCCTACTAGGCAACTGTAAAGCAAACCATGGGATATTTTTGAAGCTGTCATCCAAAAATACAAAGAAAAGTGTGACAAGCCTACTTAAAAACCAAAAATGGAACAGACGAGCACTTCGTCTCTGCTGTGATTTAGAGCTCCAGCGGCAGGTCCTCCCACTGAAGCCTCCCTGACAAAGAATGAAGCGCTTTGCCCAGACTCTTATGGAAGTTCAGAAATTCTTCTGTGGTCAGCAGCATCTTCATGCTTGGTTGAAAGAGAAAAAACACGGACTGATGTCTCAATACTCAGCGGAACTTCTGGCAAGGCTGCGGATGAGATTCGGTGGTGTGTTCCCGACTGCTTCGTGCTCCCTAGCAATGCAAAGCAGCTGTAAAGCTCTTCTCGTGTCAGCTGCTCGACCCGCAGCTACAGCTGCTTTGCATCACCGGGCTGGTGCAGAGCGGCCAGAGCCATGTCCCGTGTCCCCTGTTTGCACACAGATTTCTCAGCAGGGCGATCCAGCGGGACCTGGAGAAAGTGGATAGGTGAACGGTGCAATCAAGCCATAGCCTAATTGCAGGCTCGGCCTTTAACAGCTGTGGGGATTGGACTGAATCCCAAAGTTTATCTTTTCTCCTATTGCATCTAGTCTCTTTCAGCAGTACTATGCTTACGGCGTGCGCCATGTGGTGCACTATTTATATTGTACATCATAAAATCTGTGCGCGTTTTCCCAGTTTTTACGTGATTCCCAGTATTTTCATTCGGCCCACCAAGGTGTGGGTTTTTAGGCAGGCTCCCCCAGTGCACGTCACGGTGCCGGGGTGCCCGCTGCCCTTCTGGGGGCTCCTGCAGTGCCCGGAGAGGAGCTGGCAGAGCTCTGCCAGGGAAGGGAAAGGCCGGGACAGCCTCCCCCTTTTCCGCTGGAGCAAAGGACCCTCGTTTGCTGGCTCTGCCGCCCCGGCCCCTGCCGTAAGCCCCCCCGCCCCGGTGTTTCACGGTTGCGCTAACCCCAGACTGGGCCGTAGCACCCTTTCCCCGGTGCCTGCGAGCCGCGACGCCCCAGCCCAGTGCTGCGGGGCGGCAGCCGGTAACCGGGAGGAGGGGCAGAGCCCCGGTCCCCCGCTGCCGCCGTCGGGGCCCGCCCCCGCTCCCCGGGGCGACGCGTGGCTCCGGCAGGTCCCGGGGGGCGGTGGATGCTGCGGTGCCGTCCCGGGGGGGGGGATCCTCTGCCAGTGTGAAGCGGAGGGGCTTTCACAGCATCTTTTTTTCTTTTTTCTCTCTCCCGCCCAGTCCGTCCAACTTGTCTCTTTTTACAAAAACTTTTTTCTTCTTTACTTTTTTTTTTTTTTCCCCCTCCCAAGAGGCACCCCGTACAATTGTGGTGTCACAGTTTAGCTGCTGGCCACAGTGACCTGTTATCTGAGATGCTTCCCTTTTATGATAATACCAGAAGGCAAGAAGATGAGAGTGGGTTAGGCAACAGGTGTCTATATTCTTTTGATGAGAGCTCCCTTTGTTCCTTGTTCCAACTCCATTCATTTTTCAGTGACAGGTCTAAGGGCATCCTTAAATATAATTTTGATCCAAAAACGGTTTATCCACCTTTTGCTACCCTTTCAGTTGTCAGAGTTGCAGTATGTGGGACATCTTCACCTCAAACTTTAGAAGTTTGTTTGCTATAGAAAAGCTCAGGTTAGCTATAGAAAAGCTCAAGTTAACTACAGAAAAACTCCCTCCCGCCCCGTCCGTCCAACTTGTCTCTTTTTACAAAAACTTTTTTCTTTTTTCTTTTTTTTTTTTTTTCCCCCTCGCAAGAGGCACGCCGTGGAAAGCCGGGGTGGTGGTGGAGGAGGGAGAAACCCCTCCCCTTCCCCTCCCCCGTGGCTCCTTCCTCGGAAAAGAAACACTTGGGGGGTTTCCTCCCCTTCTCCTCTCCCCTCCCCTTCGCGCCGCTCCGCTCCCCGGAGCCGAAGCCGCCGCCGCGGCGCCCACCCGCCCCGCGGCCGAGGAGGGCCCCGGCGGGGCACCCGCGCCGCCTCCGGTAAGCCGCGCACCGGCCCCTCGGCGAGCGGAGGGGCCGGGGGTGGGGGGATGCGGAGCGTCGGCGGGAGGCAGGGAGCGGGGCCGCCCCGGGTTTCTCTTCGGGGCGGGAGAGCGGCGGGGACCGGCCCGGGCAGCGCCGCTGTCTCCCCGGCACTGAGCGCTTGCTCACACCGGCGGCGGCAGCAACGCCCGCCCGCGGCTCCCGAGGTGCCGAGAGTAAGTTGTGCGGCGTTAACTGAAAGCGGCCTTTTTTGGGGGGAGGGAGGGGGGTGCGTGTGTGTGGCTGGGTGTTGTCTGTCTGTCTGTCCCCCCTTGGGAGCCGGGGAGGGGAGGGATGGACCAGGGGGAATGCAGCCCCCCTCCGGTTTGGCTTTGGGGGGGCGTTGGGGTTGGTGGGGACATAGAGTGCTGGGGCTCGGGATGCTTTCCCGAGGGGGGTGTGTGTGTATGGGGAGGATTTGGGGTGCCGGCAACTCACCGGCTGGCCCAGAAAGGAGCCATGTGCCACGCTGGGGGCAGCCTGGGGGGCTCCGTGGGGCACCCCACCGTCAAGGTGGTTCTCCACAGCATCAAGGGCAGGGAGATGCTTGTTTTAAAGCGAAACCTGCAAATTATGTCGTGTCTCGGATGGGGCTGTAGGGAAGCAGCCCCAGGGGTCCGAGGAGCCGGTAACTTGGTCTTCACTTCTTTCCTGTCACCTAAACCACCGGAGAAGGGGCGCGTGGGGTGTTAGGCTTCGTTCTTCACTGGAAAAGCGAGGGGAATAGAAGGCGTTACAAGGAAACAGGGTAACGGTGAGCCAGGGGCGTACGTGCCCGTTGGGGTTGCCCTTGAAAGGCAGAGGAGCTCGCCATCCTCCAGACCCGGTACAGTCAGAATGCAGCCTCACACCTGCCTTTTCTCAGAAGATCAGTGCTGCGCGCCTGCGAAAAGCCTCCTCAGCAAAGGTTATCGCTAAAACCTCCTCCTGTATGCAATCTGAGTCATGGTGCTCGCTGCCATGGAGGATCCGCTACTCACTTTTTCCCACAAACACACACGCTCTTACTGAGAATTTTGGAATAGTTACCACCTAAAAACTCATCTCATGCTACGCTTAAGACCTTTTTTCTTTTTGTTCTTTTTCTTTCTTCCTTTCTTTTTTTTTTATTTAAATTAGTTTGTGTGTGCCTTCCTGCTCAGTAGAAGCTTAAGAAACATGATCTGGATGAACCCTGGAGGTAACTGAGAGGAACTCAAGAATGTTCAATTAACGTCCCTGGCTTTTTTTCTTCCCCTGCATGGGTGAAGGAGGGGGATGTGGCTTGACCATTGTTCTGGAAAGTTGAGGGTAAAGAGTATTGTTAGCAAGCTGCTATTTAGGACTATGTGGTCCAGACAGTGCCGTTTGCTAGTTCTAGTCCTTGCAGCTCTCCGAGAACTTTAAATGAAAAACCCCGTCACATGCTGACCATGCTCAACTCTGTGAAATGGGGTGGGATCAGAAATAACTACAGTTTCCTGATGTTTCATTCTCAATTGACTGTGCCCTTGCAGGCGTATCTTCTTTCTCCAAACCACTGCAACTGCAGTTCAGATGCTGCGTGAACGTCAAATAGCCCATTCAGTCGCAGCGGGGCCGTGGTCATGTGCTTAGAAATTATGCACATGCACAGAAGTTTGTGGGACTGAGGCTCTATTATCACATAATGTTGGTCTTGGTTGAATCAAGTTACGAGGAGATGTGGCCGGTCGCTGCAGATGAAGCCAATCTTTGTTTCTGTGTTCGTGAGCGATTCTGCTGGGGATGTGATTTAGAACGTGGTTGTTGAAGCGCGAATTCTTGTCCCCTCTGGAGTGGAAGGCTCTTAGGCACAAACCCGCAGGATTGCTGGGATGCCAGCCTCCCACACTGGTTCCCATCTTCTCCTGGGCCAGACCAGGATCTGGGCCTTTGTTGTTTCTGTGCTCCTTGTTATCCTTCAGGATGCCCTATGGCCGTCAGTAACCTGGCTTGCTTATCACTTACTTAAACATTGTGGGGTTGAGAGGCAGGGCAGGGCTTTTGTTCAAGATTGCATTGGAAGGCACAGGTAAACTGTGCTGGGGTCCCACAAAGCAGGCGTAAAGGAGCACCAGAGAAAAGCTGAACTGCTGCAAATCCCCCCAGGTGTGTGTCCCTGTCCCTGCCCCTGCCATGCCTGCTCGGAGAGGGCTGAATTCAGCTTCCAGATGACAGCTTCAAACATGCAGGCAGTGCCTCCTACCCTCAAGCCAACTGGAATTTCTGTGAAGTTGGTGGTCGGTTTGCGCAAGGATAGAGCTGGAGTTGGGTGGTGTAAATTCTTAGCTGCTGTCACTAATACTGTGGTTGCATTGCTGAGAAACAAAGGAGAAAATGTGCCTTTGGAGCTGTGTTTCTTCCCTTGCTCCTCTTTCCATCCCCTCTGGGGTTTTGCTCTTTCCTCCGAGTCTTTCCCTGCAGCTTCTTGCCACCCGCATCTCCTTCTGCCACCCACAGTCTCCGCTCCTGGTTTATCCTACCTTAGTTTGGTCAGCAATAAATAGGATCATAGAATAGAGTCATAGAATGGTTGGAGTTGGAAGGGACCTTAAAGATAACTTGAGTTCCAACTCCCCCACCCTGGGCAGGGACACCTCCCACCAGACCAGGTTGCTCAAAGCCCCATCCAGCCTGGCCTTGAACACTTCCAGGGATGGGTCAGCCACAGCTTCCCTGGGCAACCTGTTCCAGTGCCTCACCACCCGCACAGAAAATAATTTCTTCCTAATGCCTAATGTAAATCTCCCCTCTTTCAGTTCACACTTCATCCTATGGCTACACTTCCTCATAAATAAGTAGTGCCTGTACTTAAATATGGTATTGTTGGGTCGGGCTGATGCTGTGGTGGGATTAATAAGAGTTGTGGGGAGGTGGTATGTTCCTGAGCCATTATTCCAGGTCTCTGCAGACCTCAGCTAGTGGTGCTTGCCCAAAGCTTCCAGACTGGGAGAGGTGGGCACCTGCATCTCTTCCTGTAGATGGAAACGTGGATGGTACAAGAGCTGAATATGCCACACAGGGATGATGATATCTTTTTACAGAGTTAAGTGTGTGTGTCATTAGGAGGCATCATATATTTATTTAAAATAATGCGAGTAAATGCTACATTAATTAGATGCTTGATTACATGTACGTAGAGGTAGAGGCAGACATGCTATCAACCTACCCCCTTCTGCCCTGTCAGTGCACTTCACTGCTGCCTGCTCTTCTGGTTTGCATTTGTGCATGTCCTGCAGCCTTCTGCACGGTAAGGTATTTATTAGCTCACCATTTTGCTGAAATTGGTCTCAGTCCCTTAAAAAAAAAAGTGCAGTAGTGTTTGATGTAGCAGGATTTGGTGGTTTTGTGTTAGTGAGTGGTCAAAATGACTCGAGTAAAATTCATTCTCCCCCCCCCAACCCCCGCCCAAGTGCAAGATTTCAAGTTAAGATTTAGAAGTGAGAGGTGTAGAAAATTCTACTTTTTAAACTTCTGGGAATCTCTGCTTCTGTTTGCTAGGTATTTAATAGTATAAAAAAAATGTTAATTCAGTTTTAGTAAAATCACTAAATGCTGGTTTTGTGTTGTCTTTGGAGGCTTTAGAGCTGCCCCCTTATTTTCGTCCTCTTCAGTGGAGAAATGAAAAGGCCTGTGTGCACTTCACAGGAAATGAGTGTCTGATACAGGCTTGCAGGCTGCACATTTCCAAGAACTGCTCTCAAGGTATTTTGATAATGCACATTCTCTCTTGCCTTCTCCCTTCCTGTTCCCCGTGTGCTTTCTGTGCTTCTGCTTGTTCGCAAACACATGAGGAGTACGAGGGAAAGAACTGAACCGAGTCAAAAGTTTGCACATAGGCTGCTTTAGCTTTCCATGGGAGCTGTGGCTGGCAAAATTAGGTTAAGTTGGCAGGATTCAGTTGCCTTTGTTGCAGAGAGTTTTTGTCCTCCCCCTCAATCCCTGCAAACGCTGAAGAAAAATTTTGACTTCAGATTGTGACTTGTGCAACAAGGTTGGGGGGGGGGGTTGTGTGTGTGGTTCTGCCGTTCAGAAACAGTTTGGATCTACTTTCGTACTTCCTCAGTAGCAAAGTTTATTTGGAAACTTAGGCTAAGGCTGTCAGGGAAGAAAATAAGTGTGACTACTAGCAGTTGGAAAATGTGAAAGATCCCTGTTCCTGTGTAGCTGGGCTTCTGCGCAGCTTGCTGAAGGTGCCTTGCTAAAGCTTGGGGGGGGGTGCAGCATAGGTTTCCCTGGGTTGGCACCCTCCTGGTGATGGGCACAGATGCTTGCCAGAATGGTTTGATTCTGCTTTTTGACAGAGCAGCAATGTTATTCCTAATCCACGTTATTCTTCATGCATATTTGAATTCTTCCTTTTTTTCTGGTGAGAGGTTTTGTGACTTGGAAGGAGGGAAGCCAGAGCTGGAGAAACATTCTCCAGTCCCCCCTGCTAGAAGTTATGTTCATCCTCCAAGGCCCGGCTAAGTGACACAATGGACCAAGAGCCCCACTCAAGGGGATGCTGAGACAGAGGGAATGTTTCTTTCTAACCTCATTGCCACAGCTGTTTCTGATTCAGAGCTGTTTTAGCAGTAATCACTGAAAGGGCCCATTTTCATAGGATGCACACCAATGTTCATGTCAGCACATAAAAGCAAGAGGTGCTTTTCTTTTTAGTCATTTAAAAAATGAGGAAAAAGATGGCCTGAGCTGCTTTAACTGCTCTGCAACAGATCATGGTTTATTCCTTGTAGTGAATTTATAAACACTTGTTAGCTTTGTCAGTTTTGCGTGACTAAAAGAGATTTATGCCTTGTGCTGGGCTCCCCTTAGTCTTATGTAAAGTTTGAATGGTTAAGAGGTGGCTTTAAAAGGTTGCTGCTGGTTCCCTCTGCCTGAGGTCTGCTAAAGCATAGGATGGTGAGTACTTGACAGGGGCAAAGCAGAGATGTTTGAGAAACTAAAGAAATGAG